AAAGTTTGGAAAGTGATGTTATTGATGTGTTCTAACATAAGAACTATGACTTAAATTAATGCGGAAATCTAACCATCATAACTTTGTTTCCATAGCATCCTCAGCCGACGTTATCATCCATACATGTGAGCCTTACTTTTACCCGACAAAAATAGTAAACTTGGTTCGAGTATATAAAAATACTCAATTAGTGACTGATGGTTGGGGTCGAGAAGCAATTACATGCAATCATAGTTCATGGTGGGAACTATTTTCATGACTATTCCTTGAGCTCTACTATCTTTTATGGACAAGGTTGAATGCATAATATTCTCTACACACCGTTCACGCACATGCATATGAACTCACTAGGAGGGCTTGTATACGTACCATAAGCCTAACCACGGGCTAGAGCATGCTCACACTGGGGGAAACTAAGAAAGAAAGGAGTGTGTTTCATATCATGGTGTATGCATCCGTACATAACATACTGAGAAAGTATCTCATGCTCGTGACATACAACATGCACAAGGTCCCACATTTTCAAATCATGACATATGGTTATGATGCCTATATCATACTTCCATTACTTTTCATAACATAACTCTCCTATGAGACATGCACACGTGTACATGACGTATCTTTCATCAATATTATATGGTAAGGTAAGTATAAGAATATTCAGCAAATAACCTATTTATAAGCTCATAATCGCGTCTGAAACTTAATTACCTACCACAGGCTTAGTTCTAAGCTCTAAGAAGTTCAGACCTAAGTTTTATAGTTTATCTAAGTTTTTGGTATGTCAGGAAGTTCCTAATGCGTAGTTCTCATGCATATAATAAACCCAATCGAGCTTCGTGGATAGTTCATCTAAGTTGTTTCCATGTGATCTCGCGAACGGCCTAAATGAGTTATGGAGTGAACTAATATTTATGTTCATAGCTTGCAGGTCATTATGTATGAATATGAGAGTTGACCTCATTAAAAGTTTCAATGCATGAAAGACAATATGGTATCATGAATGAGCATTGAACATCATCTCCGAAAGGTTAGTTAACAACCTCTTTAAGGAGCAGCCCGATGTGCCAACGAACTAGCTGAATTTGTTTGTGTGGTCCTTTGACCCTTTCAAGGTAGGTTTATGGAATTGAAGCTGGGACCCTTTCACACACTAAGGTTAAACTGAAACACTATCCTATCAGACCAATCTAGATCAAGTTCGACAGTACTCTATCATAAGCCTATCGATTGGGGTAAGGGCTCTACTAGGTCTAAATCGATGTTCCTAATAGTTATAATAACATACTAGAGGAAATAGAAAGTAGTCTTGGTTCTAGTGATACTATTCACAATTGCTAGTAGGCATGTTAAGCTATCTTAAGTTTCTCTTAGTGTCGTAGTGGTAAACTAAGTTCCTGAGAGCATCTTGACGGTTTATAACTTGAGTTCTTGTTTTCAGGGTTTTCTAGACGGGTTTACTAGAAACAACATGATAGGTAATCGTAAATCGTACATAGTTTTTGGTTCCATAAACTTACTTGTCAAGTTCTCGTAAACTTTCTTTTAAAGGGATTTAAATTTTTTTTATTATTATTATTATTATTATTTTGTAAATAGTCTCTCAAATCCTCTCTTTTTCACCATCTTTCCACCAATTTGGAGGGTAAGTAAAGGAAGGAAGGAGGTTCGAAACTAGCTTTGGGAACCGAACCAAGCTCCGGACTTCAGTTCTCACATCCCAGCCTTCCGAACCTGCGTCACCTTCGACAGTCTAGCCCACATCAACGACGCTCACGACCCAGACTACTCCAGCCCACATGACCGCCAACAATCTATGAAGTCCAGCCCAAATGCGACATTGACCCAGTAACATGCCCATGGTCCAACCGACATCCAACGACCCGACTTCTAGACCCGTAGCGATCTAGTCTAGTCACCCCATCCACCACCTGATCTCACCTTTGTAACTCTTATCCTACCATTTGGTATGTAATATTATTAAGCCTAAGTATGTATTCATGAACGAATGTATATCGTTCGTCTTGCATTATATGTTGATATCATGATTTAAAGTTACGGGGATTTCATGCATTTTTTCTATGTCATGTTCATCAGGATATTTTTCTATTATAACGAGTATAGATAGGTACATTACGATATTTATGTTCCTCATGATATTATGAGAGCTCTTTTTCCTTTGTGGCTCTGACACGTGAGCATGCATTAGTTGAAGGGCTATCCCAGGGGACACGTATACTCTCGCCTGGTGGGTCCATGTGTGGTAAGTGGGCCGTGTATAGAAAAGAGAAGTACTACACATTCAATTTTTGCCTCGATTGAAAGGATATTTCTCCCAGTGGAAGACACCCCTTGACGGATGATAGCCTCCCAGTGGAAGCCATGAGACTGAAGCTAGTATGGTTGCATTTACGTTTAAATGGTAGTCCTTAGGTTAGATTAGAGCGTTGTCGTTACTTTGAGTTTTTTTTTTCCGCTATTTTCTTGATGGTTATTTTTGTTTGAAATAAACTTATGAATATTTAAATTTATGGTATCGTTTACGAAATGTGTTAAATGAACTTTTCCCAACATATGCATACACAAGCAATTATAGTGAATGTTGTACCCAATAAGTTGACATTTGAAGAAGGTGACCAATGGACCCAAGGCTTTGACCATTTGTACAAGATAGAGAAAGTTTTAGAGCTATCGCACACGGTTCGCTCGCATCTTCCCTCTATATAAAGGTGAAGACGACGTGTGGGCGGCTCCCTTGAACCGGCCACATCATCTAAACTAACTCATAATTTTTTTTTTTTTTTAGTTATTTCACCTTCTTCTAAATCAATTCTCACCCAGTCTCTCTGTTGTAGTATCTCAAATACAGTATCTCGTTTTGTTGCTCCCAAACATACTTATGTCAACATTATACTTTGAATGTTTGAAACACGAGAATGAAATAATTTGAAAGTTCATCAACTAAAATAAAAATATTTTAAAAATTTGTAAGAAAATGTTTTTCGTAATTCACGGAAAGTAGTTTATCAAGATGTAGCAATGATTGTTAAAAAGACATAAAAGAGACAAAACTATTGATAAATAATATACACAAAAATGGCTTATTAATGATAGATATTTGTTACCGAAAGAGCGTGATGTGTGTCTATCACTAATATTGATAGACTACTTACTTGTGACTAGAGTCCATTAGTGATAGATGAGGATAAAAAAAACAGTATTACAAAAAATGATATTTAAATAGGATAAGGACAAAATCTGAATCTTGTCTGGAGTGAAACCGTTTTACTGATTATGTTCCTGGAATAGTAAGAGAGTAGCAGGACCAAAGATTAAGTAAAGTATAAGGAGAATGGCTATTCTGTATCTTCAATACTTCTTTTCTTCTTCTTTTGAACATGAATGTAATAGTCAAACAATCAGAAAGAAAAGTGGCTCCTAGCTAAAGGTAGTTTGTCTCGCCTTTCAAAAGGGTGGGAATAGTTGAGAACGAAGTGATGAACGGGTGCATAACGTGTGAGAATTTGCCGAACACTTCAAGCCAAACAGGTAAAGGTTGACCAAGCCAATGGTACTCTTCATATTCTGATCTCACTGGGGAAACAAACTAGGGTTTGAGAATTAAAGCATGAGCATCTGCAACTAAGAGGAAGCCGTAGATCGTCGAAGACTCCTAGCAACAAACTTGTACGAAGAACCTCCATGGAGACATAGGAGATGTAGGAACCACCAGCGGGATCAATCCAACAATAATAGCCCAAGATAAAGTGACTTGACTCCTTCACCTCTCAACTTAATAAATTGAATTACTTGCTTGATCGAACCTAAAAACGTCTCAATTTGATCGCCCTAGCCTCGTGTGGAAATTACAATCAACTACCTTGCCCACTAACTCCTAGACAAAAACTCCTTTCCGTATAAAACAATGTATTCACGAAAAAAAAAAAACTCGAGTAAAACAGTACTGAACTACCAGCTTCTCCCTCACTTCTTATACCCTTCCTATCCCGACAAGAAGTCAATCATACAAGACTTTCACCTCCACCCGAACAACTCAGAAAAGTTTAAATTTTGAATTCAAAAAGAAATTAAGGAGGCAACCTTTTCCCTCCACAAATCAATTACAACATCTCTCAAAGTCTTCCAAAAGTCACACTTTTGATGACAATGGTAAATCAAGTCAATTTAATTTAATTTTTTGTTAAATTACCAATTAAATTATATTTTTGTTGGATAAAAAAAAAAAAAAAAAAATCAGAGT